CCAGGCTGGTCTCGAACTCAGAGATCTGCCTGCCTCTGCCTCATGAGTGCTGGGAGTGTGCCACTACCACCCAGCTCTTACAATTCTTAACACCGTATGTGCCATTCTTGTAACCTAGACTATCCTGCCTCCTGCCTTCCTACAAAGAACGCTTTGACCTTAGACATCTTATTTGCAGAAGGGACACACTTCCCCAGTTGCCGACGACTGCTCCAAGTCCATAATCCATAATGACAATCTTAATGTCAAGTCCAAAGGCTACGTCCTTCCCAGAACATGCCAGTAAGCAGAAGGCAAGAATAGCAGATGTGATTTAAATTTAAAAGCTTTATCAAAAAAATATTAAGTTAACATTAAGAAATATGAGAGATTTGATTCCGTACAATCTGGAGGTGTAAGAAGACGGACCTGTGAGTCTGGGGCCAGACTGGTCTACACAGTGAGACCCTGCCTCCAAACAAGCACTTTCAGAGAGGAGGACTTGGTGAGAAAAACAACTAAAATTCATTATATGTGTATATGAAATTGCCAATAAATTTTCTTTTGTTATTTTGCTTTTTTGAGACAGGTTTTCTCTATGTAGCTTTGTAGACCAGGCTGACCTGGAACTCATAGAGATCCACCTGCCTCTGCCTCCCAAGTGCAGGGATTAAAGGCATGCGCCACCACAGCCTGGCTGCCAACAATTTTTTTAACAAAACGAAAAATTAGGTACAGCTCCTGAAAGCTGTGTATAAGCAAGTTGTAGTTTTAAGTTCCCACGTCAGAATCACGGCCCTGTATCACACACACACACACACACACACACACACACACACACACTCCACCACCATTCTCACACTCACAACATAGTCACAGGCATGCTGAATGCTAGAGCTCTTCTAGCTGATCATTTAGCTGATGCATAAAAATATTCTCTGTGTTTCTTGTCTGCTCATGACAAGATGGTTGGCTTTAAAAATATTTCAGATTTGGGGTTATTTTGGGATTGGAATATCTGCATGAATAATGAGATATTTTATGAACACAAGTAGAAATATAAAATTCATTTAAATGGCATACATTTCTAATACACAGAGCCCAGAAGGGATTTGATACAATGGTTTTAACAGGTTTCTGCATGAAAAGAAGTTGTATTTGTGTCCCTGTGTGTGGTCAAGTGTTGAATTTTCCATATATACTGGGTCAACGCTCAAGAAGTTTGGGTTTTAGGGTATTTTGGGTTAGGATATTTAAGCTGTGTTTAAAGCCAGACTGGCCATCTGAGGCACTGCTTGCTCCTTGAGGGGGTGTCCCACTTACTACTGTCAACAGCAGCTGAAGAAACCAGTCCCTCTCCACATTTCACATTAAACACACTCCACAGAACACAAAAACTACAACTTACTTGATTATTGCCTTGCGCACTCCCTGCTGCTCGAGACTTTAAAGTCTGGATTTTCTCAAAGACCAGGTTGACTTTCCTTTTGGTGGCATCCTCATTGTCTGTGCTTCTGCAACAGCAGCAGAGAAAACATTAAGGGACAAAGCTGTCAGCCTCAAGATGTCCTACGTGCCTGTACACTCACAGAGAAGGCTCCTGAAGATAAGCTGCAAGCGGTCTGAGTAAACTAAGGCTTGTTCACAAAGACAAAACCAGTGCTTGATGGGCAAGATGGAAGGACATTACCACTCAATCTCAGAGAAGGACGTTCATTCCCAAATATCTGCTAGTGACAGACTAAGCATAATCTAAATCAAGCTCAGTGAAAATACTGTAAGCCATTGCTGGACCCAATGTTCATATTATTTCTCTCAAAGGGAATCTCTCTCTCTCTCTCTCTCTCTCTCTCTCTCTCTCTCTCCCTTTCTCACTCTCACTTTTAAACCTCAAGCTACTAAGATGTTCGAGGATTTTTAACTTATTTAGCTTCTGTTTAAGATAAAGAAGCCCCGATGCCAAGACTATGCAACAGCAGCCCTTTGTCTCCACTTCCATGGATAATCAGATCATTTTACCACACCCCTGGCAATTAGGGGATTTAAAATAAAATTCCTTAAACAGGCACCTACTATTAACTTCGGTCTCACTTGTCTCTCAACAAATCAAGTGGGAAAGAAAGAGAAGAAACGGGGGAGGGAGAGAGAGAAAGCTCAGAGAAGGGAAAGGAGGGGGTGGAAGGAAGGAAAAGAATTTTAAAAACCACAATCTTCCACCTTAATTTTACAGGGTGAAGCCCCTCACAGGCAGTATTAGAAGTTCTGTGGTGAGTTTTAAGCCCCTGTGTTGTGTTTTGAAGCCACTTTGCCAGTTCTGTCAGGCTGACAAGTGAATCGGAAGTCACAGCCCACAAACACCCAGTGTGGACAGCTGCACGTCTCAAGTGGCTGACTTTCACTCACATAGGACTTGGAAGCCTCTGCTTTCTTCTAACCACTCTACAAGACCACTGTGACAGAAACATCAGATTCCTGCTCCACAGTCCCAGCATGGCTGGCATGTAGGAGAAGAACCCAAGTGGCTGGAAGCGAGTTTCCAAGATAGGCTAGGCAAGCATTGCTCTCAGTTGCCTTCTGGGTACTTGACAATCATGGGCTGGGCCTCTGGGAGAAAGGAGGCACTTTCATTTGGGGCTTCCAAGAAGGGATGCTGGAGACTGCCATGGCATGGAAGACCTCCCCATCCCTGAACTTGTTTTGATACAGTAAAGGGTTGTTGTTTTTTTTTGTTTTGTTTTGTTTTGTTTTAAAGGTTTCTTTATTGATTATGTATAGTGTTCTGCCTTCATGTGTCCCTGCAGGCCAGAAGAGGGCACCCGACCTCATTACAGATGGTTGTGAGACACCATGTGGTTGCTGGGAATTGAACTCAGGACCTCTGGAAGAGTAGCCAGTGCTCTTAACCTCTGAGCCATCTTGCCAGCCCTAAAGGTCTATTTTTAAAACATTGGTTTAATGCAGGGGAGATGATGACTTGGTGAGTAAACTGCTGAGTATGGATCCCAGAACACACAAAAGCTGGCCACAGTGGCACATATGTGTAGCCCCAGGGTTTGGAGGCAGAGACAGGCAGATCCCAGGAACTTGCTAGCTAGCTGAAACTGGGAGTCCAAGGTTCTGTGGTCTCAAAAAAAAATAAAATAAAATAAAAATAAATAAATAAATAAATAAATAAATAAATAAATAAATCAAGGTGGAAGGTGAGATAGAGAAGGATTCCTGACTTTGACCTCTTGACTCCCACATGAGCATGGATGCTGAATGCACCTGTATATACATGCACACATAGGCATTTCTCATGGACACACACATACACCTATATGTTTTTAACTGACTTACAAAGAACATCCTTCCCTACCCCCTATACCTAGTAGGAAACTGCACCCATAGAGATGAGCCCTTATCTGGCTCGGGGAGAACAGGAAATAAAGATTAAATACAAAGCCCCAAATATAAGTCAAGAGCCCTGTCAGCAATGGCAATGACTTTGTTCTTTAAGGAAAAGCACGTACCCTTCTTTGAGATAATTGTAAAGGATCTGCTTGGCCGTCTCCTCATTGGTTTGTTGTGTGAGCTCCTGCTGGCCCTTTAATAGATCTGGTGTGGCCTGGAACAAAATACAGTGTGTTATTAGACCAAGAGGGTGGCACTCCCAGGAAGATGGCAATGACTTGGAAACACAGACTGCTAACACAACTCCTTTCCAAAATCAATTCATCTGGCCAGCCTCCTCACCTCAAACTCCTCACCCCAGCCTCCTCACCCCAAACTCCTCACTCCAGCCTCCTCACCCCAAACTCCATGAGCTTGGGACCCTTGGGCAAGTGACTTCTCATTCCCCTGGGTTTTCTCAGTGGTAAATGAAGGTTAATATCAGTGCTTCCCATAGCTGGTGCAATGCTATTTATATCATAATGCCTGGAACTTACAAGCCTTATCATAGTTTTATTACTGTTATTATTTTTTTTAACTGTTACTATCAAAACACTCAATGTGCCACTTAGACTCTATCACTTTGCAATTAACCAAATGAAGATTAACCTAATTTCTCAGACCAGAAACCAACCTAGCCACCCAACTTCAGGAATAAAAGCATATGGATGTAAACCTAACCTCAGAACCTGTGTGTTAAAATTCATTCTGGCCGGGCAGTGGTGGCGCTCGCCTTTAATCCCAGCACTTGGGAGGCAGAGGCAGGCAGATCTCTGTGAGTTCGAGACCAGCCTGGTCTACAAGAGCTAGTTCCAGGACAGCCTCCAAGGCCATAGAGAAACCCTGTCTCGGAGAAAAAAAAAAAAAAAAAAAAAAAAAAATTCATTCTGTATACGTAACAGATGTCAGACACGTGAAGAGAAATGGAGTCTCTCTGTGTACTATTTGAGGGTATCTGAGGGTACTATTTGAGGGTAGTTTACAGAAAGTGAACTGGCAGCACTCAGAATAATCTAGAAAACTATACAGTAGTTGGCAGTAGGACATAATCTGATAATAATAATAATAATAATAATAATAATAATAATAATAACAACAGCTGGGCCATGGTGGTGCACCCTTTTAATCGCAGCACTTGGGAAGCAAAGGCAGGAAGATCTCTAAGTTCAAGGCCAGCCTGGTCTGTAGAGTGAGTTCCAGGACGGCCTGGGCTACACAGAGAAACCCTGTCTTAAAAAAACCAAATAGATAAAAAATTAAATAAATGAAATAAACGAAATGTGCAAGGGCCGGAGAAATGGCTCAGTTGGTGAAATGCTTGCTCTGAAAGCATGAGAATAAGTTCGATCCCAGCACCCAGGAAAAACCCAAGCACTGCACCATCTATCATCCCTGCACCGAGTAGGTGGAGGCAAGGAGCAGGCAGCTAGTGTGGCTGTATCAGTGAGCTCCAGGTCCAGTGAGAGAGCCCCTCTCACAAAGTAAGGTGGAGAGTGGCAGAGGAAGACCTAAGTATGTGCACATGTATGCAAATATACACTTACACACACAAAATCATCAAATGTGCTATTGCTGATTCAAGACCCTCACATCCATTCCTAGGGCGCATTACTTAGGCTGCCTTGAAAAGGAAAAACACAAGTGTTACCTGTGTATTAGTGTCGGAAGGAAAAGTCTTCACAGAAATTTTCTTGGCACCAGAATCAGGTGTGGCAGCCACGGCCCGGTTCTGTAACATCAACGTGGCAGTGGCTATTTTGATTTCTTCCTCTTTTTTATTCTGTGCTGGAAGGGAGGAGGCACAAGCCACCCCGCTTTCCTGACTTCCTTTGTTCAGTACTTTCCCATCTTTGTTCTGCAGGGGAGGTTTGGGGTGGGCACCCTGTGTGGCACCCTGCAGCCTTGCAAGTGTGCAGCTTGGACTGTGCTTCCCACGGTGCTCGGGGGCCAGCGACCTCTGCGGGAAGACCTGGGATGGCCGGAGGAGGTGTTCGCTAGACTTGCCCAGGTTCCTGCTGAACTCTGTGAGGTATTCTGTATTTCCCTGGAGACCAAACGGAAAGGCACTATCTACGCTTCGAGATCTTTTCCTGTCCTCCGGATTGATCCTGTTTCTCTTCCCAGACCTTCCTCTTCTCTGAAGCCCAGGCTTTTGGTCAAATTTTTCAATTAACTGGTCCACACCAGGAATTGAGCAGGTGTCAATATCCCGCCCAGTTCCTGGTAAGAAGGGGATATACCTTCTGTTTTCATGGCGGTTGACATTGTCAGCATGGATGGCGCATTCCTGATCATCAAGTAAAAATCTGTACAAGGAAGTAGCTGAGGTGGGAGTCGTGGATGACGAAGATGACCTCCGTGACCGAGCTCCATCCAGAATGGGTCCTGCGGAATCTTGTCGCCGGAAGGGTAGTACATCTGGCCTACTTTTCTTGGTTTCAGAGTAAGCCTGTGGGCTAGGGGCAGTTGGAGATTTCCGTGGAGGGGAAAGGGTCTCCTCCCCCACCCCCTCCTTGGCGCAGCTCTGAACATTCACGCACACTGAGGTCTGCTTTTGGGGGTCTTCTATGACCACAGAGCTGCAGAGACGAATCGCCATCGTGTTGGTCTTGGCTACATCTTCCAAAGTAGGGCTGTTGGGCTGGGAACCGCAAAGTTTGGGGAAGCAATTCCTAGGCTTCTTGTAGTTGGTCCCTTCCTCTACTGCATTTCTCAGCCAGGGACTCTCTGGAGGGTGATGCTTTTTTGAGGTCACCTCATTCTTTTCAGGGTCATAGGGTTGCAGCAATTCTGGGTGCCTCTGAAAGTTGAGCACGTGGGGTAGTTTTGTGGGCCCATCTTTGCGTTCTACAACTCCATTCCTGCCCTCGTGGAGCAGGGGCTGCTTCTGGTTTCTTATGGGGCTGGTTTGCAGGTATGGGTTTTCTGGAAGCTGCAGCTCCTCTGGATTGTTCTCCTTCAACACGGTCCCATTGCTTGGATGTAAGGACAGATTATTTATCATTGAAGATGCAAACGCTGGCCCGTTTTCTGGAAAAGGTGTACCTGCTAGACACCGTTCAGTGTTGTTCAGGACTATGTAAGGGTGACCATCAATTCCCTGGACCCTAATACTGACACCATAGGAGCCTGCCTTTGAGGGCTGGGAATTCCTTGGCTTCTGGGCCTCGTCACTGGCGAGTCTCAGGTGGACACCATATTCCTGCTGCACGTGTTGATATTCACCAAAATACAGCTCCATGGTTCACTGTCCCAGCTGGGGGTCGGAAAGAGGGTATTACATTAGATCACATCTGTTTATGCAAAGATGATTATCAGGGGGAAATTTCAGGGTTCAAAGACAGCTAGACACTAAACAGCAAAGAGACTTCAGTACAGCTGAGCCCTGTCCTGACCTGCACTTCTTTCTGGGTGTACTTGAGCCTGTGTGATGGCTGGCTTGCCAACACTGGCTGCAGCCCTGGCCTGAAGACAGTGTCTGGTGTAATGACCTGGCCTCTGGCATAGCTCCGCTCTTGTTTCCAGCTATTCTTGTCATTTTTTTTTTCCTTAGTAGGTTTCCTCACACTTTGTGCTATTTATTTTTAACCAAGAGAGTGTTCTGGTTGCCAGCAATTAAGAACAAGGTACTTTTCCATGAAAATAGTTGAGAGCTAAGACTAAGGATTATCGTTGGTCTTCTCTTCCTCTGCCTTTTTAGATGCACATCTGGCTTTAAAATCTTGCACATTTATTTTGTATATGTGTGTGTGTGAATGTATGTATGTATGTATGTATGTATGTATGTATATGCAGATTAGATGCATACACGCCACAGTAAGCTCGTGACCAGAAGGCAACACACAGAAGTCAGTTCTCAGCTTCTGCTATGTATACCCCAGAATTCAAACTCAGGTCATCAGGCTTGACAGCAAGCACCTTCACCGACTGAGGCATCTGGCTGGTCACCCCTACTATTTTTTTCTTGAGACAAGGTCTTATGAATCCCAGACTGGTTTCAAACTTGCTATGTATCCAAGAATGACCTTCAACTCTGAGCCTCTTGCCTCTACCTCCTGAACTCACCAGTCACATCTTGACCCCCTTTCTCAGCAGCATCATGGGATTATCTTTCTGTTTTTAAAAGTCCATTACAAATCTTTTGTAGGAAGGGCTGGGGTTCAAACCCAGGGCCTTCCAGGTGCTAAGTAAACACTTGACCATTTGAGGATACCTCAGCCATGTGGCTTTTTTTTTTTTTTTTTTTTTAAGCATCTGTACAGACAAGTTCATCCAGTGGGGATCTTTTGTGTTTTCTATTTACTAAATGGGGTTTCTTTTTATTCACCAATAATGTCTCCTTATGCTGGCTCTACAATGAAAACATTTCTTTAGATACTTAATGAGAAGCTCAACTAGGGTTTTAAGAGTCCTTTGCCACAGTTACTACAATCAACACTGATTGCATTTCAGTTTTTGAATATGGCCACATGGTTTATCTCAACCCTAGCTCCAGGTTGGTGAAGCAATCCACATATCTGAATTTCATGAACCAGACACAATTCACATTTCCTTGACAAAATGATGACACTTCTCCGCCGAGTGTCTTAAGCAAATGTAGATTTCCTACCCAATCAAAGCATAAACACTGAATTAATGAATGAATGAATCGAAGGACAGCTGTTCTCCACTTCCGGGCGCCAGGCCTGGTGTAAGATCCTAATACTCATCACAGAGGCATTTGCTCCATCAGGCAGCCCCACCAAGGGCTTACATAATTTGGCAGTAAACGCTGATCAATTGCCAGTATGCAACATTGTAGCACTTTGGCAATAAAAGTGGTGTTTTGGAGTAGAAAAAAAGGCTTTCTGAAAAGGCTGCTAAGTGATGATAATCACTTTAGTTAGTGAGATCAATGGGTATGTGTGTGGGAACAAAGACTCAACGCTTGGCAGAGCTCAAAACCCATGCCAGATGGAGACATGTCCTCTCTCTGGGCCATCACACATGATCAGGGAGCATGATTTGTCACGGAAGGCTGGTTTATGCATCCCAGATTCCCTTCTCTAACTCCTAATGGCGTTGCCAGGCACACCAGAGGAAAGCCAGCCACACCATCATAAACTTTATTGCAGCTTCCTTTCCTGAGATAAGATGCCCAAGCATTCAGCGTGGTGCCTGGCACTGGGGTTCAGGGGACTAGTTTGATTTGTGTGGATAATTCTGCTTTGCCATACAAGTTATTTAAAATGGCAACAAGGAGGGAGGTGGAAAGCTAGTGAGTCTCAGGGCACCTTTGAGCAGTCCAGGAAATGAAAAGTAAGCCGAGAAGCAAAGGTAATTTCCCCAGAGTGTGATGCTCTGGCTGTCTCAGTCAGAGGGAAGCCACTGCCAGGCTAATAAGGAGCAAGAGAAACATCAAACGACAACACGCTTACTCCTGAAGGGCATGCCTCAAGGGCCGATGGCACAGCCCGGATTTTGTGGGGGATATCCACACTGGAACCTGCACGATAGGGGAGGCTGAAGAGTTGGCTCAATCAGTAAAGCGCCTGACACACAAGCATGGGGACCTGAATTCAACACTCAGAATTCATCAAAACATTAATTCAGAACATTAAAACAACAACAAAAAACTGGGTATCATGATGATGATGATGGCCTACACTTGTACTCCCAGTGCCGGGGAGGCAGAGGCAAGTGGAGCCCTGGAGTTTGCTGGCCAGAATAGGTCACTCTCAAGCCAGTAAGAGACCCTGGAGTCAGGAAAGAAAAAAAACAAAAACAAAAAAAACAGGTGGGTGGTACCCGAGGAATAACACCCAAGGTTACTGCTGGCCTTCATGTGTATGCTCATGTACACTCCAGCAGGTGCATCTGTGTACATACACACACACAACAACAACAACCATCAAATTTGAAAAATAGAATGAGCCACTAGAAGCCTAAAATGAACAATATGCAGAGCTACATCCCATGTCCCCAAATCAGACAGAATGCCTTCCCTAAACCAAGCTTTGTGTCCCCTGGGCGCTTCCTGCAAAGACAGGAAGCTGACAAGAGCTCCATGATTCTCAAGGCAGCCTCCTGGCACCCAGAAAGCCTTTAAAACTCCCCGAGGACACCATCTGGAAAATAAAGGTGAGGTTTTATTTTTATTTATTTATTTATTTATTTATTTATTTATTGGTTTTTTCAGGACAGGATTTCTCTGTGTAACAGCCCTAGCTGTCCTGGAATTAGCTCTGTAGACCAGGCTGGCCTCAAACTCACAGAGATTCACCTGCCTCTGCCTCCTGAGTGCTGGGATTAAAGGCGTGCGCCACCACATGCCTGGCCAAGAAGGATCCTTTTAACAGGGCTGGAGACCATAGCAACTCAACCAGGGGGGTCTCAAGATCAGGATCACTTGACTAACCCATACAACATATACATGGGCTATGGTGACTTGAGGGTCCCCTCTGCCCTCAGGATGCCCACTGTCACCTTCCTGCACGGATGGGTCTCTGGCTAATCCACTTCTCCATCTTGGTAGCATACAGATCACCTCTCTGTTTGTGGCATTTTTATGTTCTCAAACAGAATTTTAAAATCCAGTGACTATGTGCTAGAGAGATGGCTCAGTGGTTAAGAGTAATTGCTGAGCTTGTAAAGGAACTGAGTTCGGTTCCCAGCACCCACATGGCTGCTCACAGCTGTCTGTAACTCCAGTTCCAGAGGATCCAGTGCCCTCTTCTGGCTTCCAGAGCACTGTATGCATGTGGTCAATAGGCAAACACCCACATACATAAAATAAAATAAATCTTTACAAAAAAAAAAGTCTGAGCTGAGAATAGAATATCAAAGGTCATGTGATGTCGCCACACTTTCAATACACACCCACATTTAGTAATAAACTTAGTGAGGCCTCCTGAATTCAGGCTCTGAAAAAATATAGACTTCATGCTCAAAATAAAACTTAAGGTATATTCACATGTGACCCTTGAGATGATTTCTAAAAGCTTCAAAAATAGAGCCAAGATGCAGGAAGGCACAGCACTGGGTGGGTGTTCACTTAATCTAACAGAGCCATGGGTTTGGTCCCCAGCACCACACAAACCCAGAGATGGTGACTCAGGCCTGTCACCCTAGCATTGGTAGGTGGAGCTGAGAAAATCAAAAGCTGAAGGCCTTGGCTACATAGCAAGTTTGAGGCTAACCCAGGCTATGTGAGAGCCTGCATCAAAAAATAACAACAAATAAACAAAAATCAGAAGGGAAGGCTGGAGAGATGGCTCAGCAGTTAAGAGCACTGGAGGACCTGGGTTGGAATCTCAGGACCCACACAGTGGCTCACAACCATCTGTAATGCCAGTTCCAGGAGACCTGACTCTCTCTTTTTGGCCTCAGGGCATTCTCACAGAAATGTACACACACACACACACACACACACACACACACACACACACACACACACACACACACACACACACACACACACATCTTTTAAAACAACAGAAAGGCACAACTGGAAGAGAGAAGGAAGTGGAACCTATTTCTAACTCAGAGACTGAACTCAAATTCCAGCCAGATACATATGTTACCTCCCTGAGTGTTTTCTTATCTCTAAGCTCAGGCTAGCCAGAAGACTTTATTATGAAAAATGAGAAAGCTGAGTCATATATAGTGCATGCTAAATGAAGGAGCTAGGATCTGGAAATGGAAAAAAAACAAAAGAATATTGTATTTATGGCTATAAAATCCCTGGTGTTGTTCATAACATGCTTTTAAATACTTACAAGGCAAAGGGCTCCACTCTTGACCATACAACACCAACATCCCAAAATAATTTATTAACTAATTAAGAAAGCAGAGGGCAGGGATTCTAAAGTACAACACTATGTCCACAGATGAGATGCCATAAGCATTGCCAACTGAATAAATAAATGGAGTTCTTCACAGCATCCTGCACACTGCCGAGGTCTTAGGTAGACAGCAGCTCCTACCATCAGTGCCTCAGTCTTCTATGTGGAGCCCAAGGCCAAAACACAGCAAAAGGGCAAAGAAGCGCCCCAAATCTCCAAGGCCATCTCTAGCATCTGAAGTTTCCTCAACACTGCACACCTACAGTCACTGCCACCCGGTCAGTGTAGACACTAAATAAAACCCCCGTTGACCACCCCTAACCTACACTCAAGCCAAACACCCATGAAAACGAAATCACTTCCTAAACCACCTGGAGTCCTGTCAGATTTCTGTCTGTCCTGCAGTCTAAATGCAGGA